TATCTAATAGTTATTCAAACGTTTTCTTATCATTTTTTTTTTTCGGAACAAAATCCTATGGATCAATTCAAATAATCATTAAATGGTTCTTATTTAGTAAGGCAATATAGGTAATAGGCAATATACCTACTCTACGTGTCTTAAACTTTGTTTTATTCTTTACATGTCTTCATGTGGTCTTATATACGGTTTATACTCGAAACTACTTATAGGGAAAAATCCAAAAGACACTTTAGACGTCATTTGTTACCGATAAGCACTCCGCAGACAGCTTCATAAATCAAATGCCAAAATACAATCAGAGTTAGGATAAATAAATTGAATTTTTTTAGCTACATTTAAACTCATATCGTCGTAATCGACCTTAAAATAAAAACGGTGATCGCTCTAATATTAGAGCTAAGCGTAACCCAAGAGAAAGATGCAAATTATTTCATTATTGAGTTTCAAATCATTGACAGACACCTAGACAGCAACAAAAAAAAACGCAACCGAAGACAAAAGAAGTGTGTCCTTATCATCCCAAGTAAAAAAGAAAGGGACGATTAATCATAGCAGAACCTCACAACTTTTTGCCTCGAAAATGTGTTTCGTGTTAAAAGTACCTACGTAACTCAGACTTTGCCAGTGTTATGTTATTAGTTCCTCAAAATCGAATATAGATGTCACTTTAAATAATACACCTCACTGCGTTGTGAGGAAAAAGGCTATAAAGGGTGTGTCTTTATTTCAGCCGAGTCAGCCGACAAACAATAATCAAAATAATTTATTCCACAATGAAAACATTAAACAATCAACGTTGACTAAACAAAAAGCAGTCGCGTCAAAATTAAACGAAAGATAAAATCAATATTCTTTATAGTCGACGAATTTAGCATTATGATTAACTTCGAAAGCGCCAAAATTGTAATCGAACATTTGAATAAAGTGTGTGTACGTGACAAACGTCTTGTACAACATGCATGAATACACAAAGCTAACTTACATATTAACATAATAATGATTTGTTTTTATCAGTACCTAGTACCTACTGTGAGTCCTGACTCAGTACTTGCCGAGGACTGGAGAATAATAACGTAAACTACGCACGTTTTGGAAACACCCTCTAAGCTGTGCATCATCGTTTGTGAATAAAATGTTTTTTTTTAATATTCTTGTGTGGGTTTTATTATTCATGATGGCTCAATACTAAGTGTATTACCCCAATTGTCATGCCTAGGTATTGGTTAGACTGTCTAATTATGATTATGTGTGGTCCAAATTTTAGTTAACAAAGACAAAGATATCCCGTGGTCCAAATTTTTTACTATTGATAAAACCATGACTTCTAAGTAATCTGCTTAGAACCCAAAATCTCAAATCTCTCAATAAATAATACCTTTAAAGATTGATGCAAATAATTTCAGTAATATCGATTTCAAATCATTGTCAGACATCAAGACAGCAGCAAAAAATCATGACCCAAGACAAAAGCAGTACCTATCCTTATCATGCCAAGTAAAAAAGAAAGGGACGATAAATCATAACAGGACGCAATGCAAGGGTATTTGGCACCAAGCCAAGGTCACAACGATTTACAAATAATGCACTTTCACCAGGATTTCAAACTACTTACTCATATAATACATGTGTCAGTATAAATCCAAGAAATAATATTTGAACACTGAATTTAATTAAGTGGAATATTTTAATGTTTTTCTCGAAAATGTTTTGAAACTGTTCCTTAGTAACTTTGGGGCATACGTCTTATTATTTTGGTACTGGGGATGTCCATTTTCCGACCTTTTTGATTCTGCTAAGTTCAAAAACGCATTATGATTGTCATCAACAATCGTATCGTGGTGGTACTTATAATAAGTTTATAACACCCCTCTTTTTGCGTCGGGGGTTAAAAAAATAATTTTGACCGAAATTTAAAAGATGATAAATACTGAAATTAAATTGATGAATTTTCTGAGATGAGATTTTCTACTACTCTAACCCTAGGTATTGCCATATCATGTCACATCACGTCTAAACACCAAAAGACCGGCAACCCACGTGCATTTACTGTATTTTGGCTCACTCCCATGGGCAACATCGATTACTTTTCGCAAGGACAGGTCGTGTCATAAAAAAAGTAAAAAATTATCACTATCACTACATAGTATATGTATAACAGTTCTTTTTGAGCAGTCGTATAAAAACAGTTGCTTACAGCTACTGTAGTACTGCTGCAGTATATGCTTAATCAGTAAAACTACGCAACGGATTCTGATATTACCCTTTTTTAACAAATAGAGTTATAAGTATAACAGCCATTAGGTAAATAGTAGAGAAATGTATGTATGTGGGTGATTCTCCAAAAAACCTTAACTTTTATTTAACAAGTCATTATCCTCCCAGGTTTTTAAGCATCTTAGTATTTTATTTTATACAATATTTTTAATCGGTTGCTTGTAAGCAGTGGTGAGATTTAATTTAATAAAATAATTATCTGTGTTTAATCAGCAGACTCATTAATTTTCGGTTGAAGATAATGACATTATTAATTTTTTTTTAATTGATGTGAAGAATCACCCATGTATCAGCATTGAACCCTTGCGAAGCTTGGGCGGGTCGATAGTTTTATTATAAACCACACGAAACGTTTCCAACACACTGACCCATAAACATAACCTAATCTAAACCCGATTGTGTACGAAAAAGCAGGTGTCACAAGCCTTGAATTAACCAATTCGCATTGTTAGAGCTCCGGCCTCACTTTCGTTGGTGTGGCACCCAGCTGATGAATCAGCTGGCAATCCCAAATCGTTACGACTAGTTCCGTAGACGCGACACACATAATTAATTAGTTATGATACTGTCCATTTATATTCTGTGACACTTTATTAACGATAATAATATTCGTAATGCTATATGTTAGGTGCAATGATCTGCATAGATCTTAGAAGTATAAGTCATGTGTGTACCTTAAGGAAAATAAGTATTTAATGAAAAAAAATAAGAAAAAAATACGTAAGTAAAATCTTATCCTAAAAGTCGGAATAAGTAGTTTATAGATATTTATTTTTTTCTTGTTGGGTCAAAATCATCAAATCAGACTCAGACGCGCGCGATGCGTCAGACTCTCGTAGAGAGTAGTTATATTCCTTGCTCTTACTGACATATAGATAAAAAATATAAAATCCAATAAGAATTTATTCCAGACACAGTTAGAACACAGATAAGCACCTACTTTTTCTTCCAAATTTAAAATATTATCAAATAAAACTACCTACGTATGCATATGAATCAATGAATGGCGGCTGCACTGCGACAATTAATCGTTATCCGTAGCGTTTGCGTGGAATATTAATTCTGTTTCACTTTCAATAAGTATGACTAATCATTGGGAAATGCGTCTCTGTAGAATATAGGCAACCTTGAACCGTAACCGTACGAACACCTGTCGGTAAATGCAGCCAATATCTTTAAGATATAAATATCCGGTGTCACTTTCTCATATACATAATCGCATCGGTAGATACTGAGGTGTACAGACGGGGCCTTATAGGGCTGATTCAGACAGGGTTGGGCAAACCATGCGTGGCCGGGGCTTAGAACAGAGGAAGAAACATATTTTAGTCAGTAATAGTGAGAAACTCTCTTCACAAAAACAAATGAGGCTTAGGTGTATACGTTATTTCGTAAGCAGGTATTGCGATAAAGATTAATTCAGTATTGTGATCAATAACCATTATTCGGATATTTGGCTACTGAGCTTTTAAGTTAAGCTTAATAAAAAAACATATTCCTAATTGAGTCACATACGTCGCAGCCAGGGTTTCGGGTCAAGCGAAATTACGTATAATCTACCGCGGCCCGGCCCGCCGACCTGGAGAAGGAGGAGGGCAGAAATGGGGTGGTTTTAGACATTAAGAGAAGATATGAGTATGAGACACTCCCTCTCGCCCCACCCAGATCAAGATAAAATTTGACGATAATGGGTAATATTTCTGTACAGATACCCTTAAAAATGTATCAACTTTGCAGATCGTTTCTAATTTAATTACCTACCTACAAGTAAAAGACATTGTATATATTTGCTATTAAAAATTTCTTATTGCAATTGCACAAATCGATTGGTGCAATATGGCAAGCAATTCATTAACATTACTTATGTACAAAATTGAAAAGAAAAACAGGTAAATTCTAGTGTAACTAAATTTATAATACTTAATACCTACTAAAATCTTCCTAACTTGACTGACACAGTCTGATATTGAAGAAACTGGTGCTGGAAGTACCCTGGTAATCATGTCCTAGATCTTGAATGATCGTGTCGCGGCCGAATCACGTTACTCACAATACGTAGAACAATTTCGAAAGGGCTATATTAAATCAAAATGTAATTCTTAAAATGTGAATGTGTGTGAATGTTGCCGTTTTGCATGAAAAAATTTAAACGATTTTTTTTATTTGAAATGGCCAGTACTGTAACCTATTAGTTTTGAAGCGCTCAAAATATTTTTTCAGTTTCGAGCATTTCAAAAGCAATTTTACCTAAGCACTCGGTAAACAAAATAGATCGAAATAAATATGTACTTAAAATAAAACAAATAAAAATAAATTTGTAGCAGTCAAATTCCTATCGACTATACACTCAAATCAAACATGGCTATCATAATAATATTAGGTATATATATCATATGTAACAAAAACATTCATTTTTCCTCGTTTACTAGCCCAAAATTGAAATACATTAACCAGTATAGAGTTTGAGCAATAGTTTCGTAAAAATCTATAGGTAAGGAAACTAATCTATAAAAAAAATTCCTAGTAAATATCAAATTATGATTCATTCCCTGTTGTTTTTGGTGTCCGAATAAAAATTCCCAAATCACCTGCTTAACAAGTAAATTGAGACCTTTTTAATAAGGATCTCTGATTAGTAGAGGGCGTTGCTTTCCAAAAACAAGTCACACTAACGACGCATAAATGCAAAAAAAAATATAAATATTATGTTATATTATTTTCAGAAACCAGCGGGAATATCCTGGGAGCAAGCGAATGGAACACGGGGTACCCTTCAACGGCTTCCATGTACCCTGCGTACGCGCCGCTACAACCACCTTATTACAAACCAGATCCTACTATACATATACCTGCAGGTAAGCCATAACAAATTTAAAAAAAATTCTTTATATTTGTATCAATTTACTAGGGCAGGTATTTCACCATCATCATTTAAGATTATAAGGAACTTGTACGTAGTGTATCAAAATACCTTGTGGAAAAAATACCTAATGGACTTTCTTGTCCATTGACAGAGCACAGAAACATTTATCAATACAAAAAAACAACACTATCGTCATTGTGCAATCCACGGAATAGAAAATACAGCAATCTTACGCAGCTAACGCCATCTCTTAACGAAATGACAGACTACAAAAAAAATCTTAAAAGCTGTGTAAAGTTACTTGCTATTAGCAAAGAAATCGACGATTCTAATGGAAAGTTATAATTATTTAACTTTTTAATAAATCGGAGGATAATAACTACTAGTTATACACTTAAAAATTGATATTTAATTAATTAAACTATTTTTAAATATTCCATTCAGCATGACAAACCCAAACATGCTATTTTCATTGAATTTTCTGATTGTATGCAGATTACTATGATATAAACTAAGTATTATTTTATGGGTACCTACATTATACGTTAACCTTTGATACCACGTACGTATTAGAACAGAAGATTACCTTCGATAATGCAGTAGTGTCGTGACTACCTTATAAGCTAAGATCACACACTCATAATAATATATATAATTTAGAATATGGAATAGTTTATTGATAGAATATATTTTAATCGAAACAAGTATCGGTAATATAATTATGAAAACAAAATTTCCAAATTATCATTTTTTTTATAATAAACTTCGTCAATTGTTAGGTACCTTCAAGTATTCGTCATAATCCATCCAGTTTCCTGAAATACTTAAAAATGATTAAATCATCCGTTTTTTTTTTTCGACTCGTTTCCTGTTACTTGAGGTCAACTCAATATGTCCAGTGTATTTAACTCTATGAGTTATTGCCCAAATTGGCAAATGATACCTACGTTATATGTTATTAAAGGATTGCCTGCCCACATAGATTTATAACAAGGATAAATCTATGTCTACCAATTATTAGAAGGTACTTCATACATAGCATATGACAACTCATTTAAAAAAATAAAATTAGGTTCTCCTAACGGTTTTTTACTCTTTACATATTAAATATGTAAGTAGGCAAGGTACTTAACCTTACATTTATACATAATAGGTACCTAGTTGATTATTTTGTTTTAGTAACCACAGTTGATTATTATTTTACCTTCTACCACTTCCAGTCAACATATTCGAAATTGTAATATATTTTATTTATACTTATTCGAATAAATTTGTCATCAGACGCAATTTAGTCATTGACGAAAATGAATATATTGTGAATCATACCAATTTGTTTTGATATGTAACAACAGACCTATTTCTGTCTCCTTTGAAAAGACCTCATGACATAATAACAAGACTTTGACAAAAAACAAACAGTTTTGATTCATTTAAATTATATTACCTACCCGAAGATTGCTGGAGGCTAACATACCGTAAAATAGAGGAGGATATAGGTATGGCTTTGCGTTGAAAGAAATGAACGCATCTTAGCTAATTAAGGACCTACTTAACTTTGCAAAATTAAAAGATCAACATGACAAATGAATAGTGGTTATCTTCGATTTGCCATAATATTTTTTAAAGAGTCGGAATTTTAGTCACTGGCAGGTGTGCCCTGTCTTGCTTGGCCTGACCCTCGATGTATCCTCAATGTGTTACTTTAAAGATGGCCACGGATTAAAATGAGTTCCAAGTAATAGGCGGTAAAATGAGTAGGACTGTTATCAAATTAAACATCTAGGTAATTATGTGTTATTGTGTTTCTAACACCGTTACAATTTGCGTCACACATTAAATAGGTACTGATAAACGGACTTCCTCCATTCAAGCCGTGGTTACCCGCCGTAATGGAGCGGTTGACCACATGATAGGGACCGAACTACCACATACCTATAATTCTTGTATTATTCAATTATTATGAACTAGAATCCTTCGCGCTTAAGTATTATGTCGATTAGATAAATAAGGGAAAATAAAATATACCTAGGTCCTATACTTACGCAACTTATCTAAACTCTTGGATCCCACATGTTTTTTTTTAAATGATATTTATTTCGTATTTTTTCTAATTTCCAGTGTTACCTGAAATCCCGCTTGGCCATACAGAGTACACTGGCTTCCAACCAACCACGACAGGCTTCGTGAAAGGCAGTCCAAGCAGCACAGGAGCTGCGCTCACCGAGCTCAACTCACCTCCAGCGATGCCGGCACAGCGATACGACGCCAACTACTACAACTCGTGGCCAAACAACACCTACAACTACAATAACTATCAATATAATAGCATTAACAACAATCCAACCTGCATACAGTCACACGCACCGTACAACCCCCAGATGATCCTCCCGAACCTTTACTCTACAGTCAACCAAAACCAAATACATGTCCATCTACACAGTTCTGGAGATAAGCACAACATAGAACAATGTTTTCCCAGCGAAATTAAAATCAGCGATATAGACGGGGGCATCTCTATAACCACGGAGCTACAGGGAGCTGGCGAGGCCAGTGGTATGGTCCAAAGCTGTGAAGGCAACGACGAAGTGAAACATGGCCTCTATGGTGCGGGAAACCAAGAAGTTTGGAGACCATATTGATATTCCGTTCCAATTGTGAACAAAAACTTTATATTGTATATATTGTGATATACTTAAATCTATTTTATGATTCTTAATAAGAGATGTGTCGACTGTTAACCAGCCGATCGGTGCCTACTAAGTTATATTTTCTACGGCACAATGCAGCACCTCATACCATACTATGTACTTATTTCTGAAAATTCAAGGGGCCTTATCCCACTATATTTTATTTTCTATTTCACACAATCTGTTCTTTCTATATCGCCATTATGCCTGCCATTATATAGGTACCCAATTGTTATGATTCCCATAAGTTTAGTACTACCTATTGGCACCTAAGTAAATTAAAGGTGCCTAAAAGTATGCATGTCGTCAAGACACATATCCTTATCGCCTTATCCGTAATATCTACCAACAATCTTTGCCTTTGTTCATACTTAACTTCGGTAAACTCTCGTGTACCTAATCAGTGCCAAATTATTACTTCTGACAGGAAAAAAACGCGAATATTTCGAGCATAAACAACACAGTATTTCAAATAAGGACAATCAAATTTCAACGTAAATTTACTAACCAACGCGCACAGAGAACTGGGCGCTGGCATTCCCAAATATGGCCAGATAGTCGACACATCTTTGTTTCTAATAGGTCATAAGAAATTCCAACTAAATTAATGTTAAACATTAATTAGATGTTAATTGTTAAATTAATTGATTAAGTAATAAAATATTAAATTAAAAATTAAACAGGTTTTGTTTTATTAACGACTATTATCGAGTTATATTCACGCTTAGAATTGAAGTATCCACAAATATGTGATTGACATGTTTTTCCAGTTAATAACAAGAAATATGTCGATACCTATGCACATTCTGTTAAGAGATTTTGCTCCTGTGAAAATCCACACTTTATCGTGATTTCCTTACTACTAGGTAAAATATCAAGTAGAAAATTATATCCTATGGTAAATAAAATAAATTCAATGTAAGAAAAGGTTTGTTATGTCTTTTTTTCTAATAAGGTCCCTAAATATTGTTGAGTATAACATCAAATAAGTAGTCCATATACGTATAAAAAGAGCCAATAGTTAGATAGTTGCCTACATTATTCGAAGCCTTGGTTAATGTCCACCTAGCGACGATAGGTTAGGTCGCCCTTCACCTCATGCATCATCAGCGTATAGGTAAGTGCCCATCAAAGGCCTCTTCTCACACGGAGAAAGTTTGAATATTAATCACCATGCTATATCGAGAAGGATTGGCGATTTCAAATGTATAAATACTTACTTACAATTATTTAAGTCCTGGTTTCCTCACGATATTTTCCTTGACTGTTTGTCCGTGACGTCTTGATAATCATAGAAAGTACAATATATGTTTCGAACTCTCATGCACGAGAAGCGGGCGCCTTAAACTAAAGGCCCCCACTTAGCACAACTTATTTGTCATCGCCAGAATTATGTCGTCTCTTCCAAATTATTTAACTTATTTACCTATGTCATCAAACGATAATGTTACACTTACAACTACCCATATTATTATACTTACCTGCAATGCTTACCTATCCACTAAGTACCTATGCCAATAAAATCTCCGGGGTTGCGGGGTAAGTGCAATGAGGCACCAATTAAGTAACTAATAATAATGGCCTGTACCTACCTACCTAATTATTGTGGGGTGAGTAATATACTACTAAGAGTACAATGAAATTCACAAAAACATAAATTTAATAGGCAGCTGTAGCCAAATGAATAGGCAAACAATGTTGTTACGACACAATCACAGAATAGAAAATACAGTTACAATTATTAGTCACGATACTAACTGCTTAAAAAATAGGTCAAAGATTTTGTGATACCTTATTTTAAATAAAATTTCCCGCCAATCCAAACTGTCGAACGTTTAGAAATTTGTTATCTATGGCTAGGCAAGTATTCGTCACAGATTTTTTTTCAGCTGAATGTTTTATTGTATAAATATTAGAATAAACATAAACATATTTTATAAACATATGTATATAAATTACGTGACTTATAATCCCCTACAATCGTACCACTTTAAAACCGTATTTTTTGTACATCTTTACTTCATAGATCGTATCTCTATTATTGTTGCCAAGGAAAAATACCAAAAGTCTAAGTCTTTATATTATTTGTTGTCTTATTTTCGCAATAAATTAAATATTTTCAAAATGGAAACTGTACAATATGAATCCGCAATATTAAAATAACCTTGGAAAATATTAAAAAAAAAAAAAATACATATTTTTGATTTGTACAAATCGAAACTTGGTCACCCTGTACTGTAGTGGTATGTGATAAAATGGCGTCTGTCTTGTTTCGTTTGATGACCTCGTAAAATATTAGAAATAGTTTTTAGTGTGTGATAGCAATTGCGTATAATAGTTAATTATTATTTTATGAAAACCTAATTATTATTCTTAGAAACCGTAAGTACTCCGACCACTTGTTGATAATCACAGTTGACGTTACGACAGGTTTTTGATAACGGCGAAGAAATGCAAATTAATCTCTTTGTAGGATTAACTTTGGTTCTTTCCTTGCAGTTGAAAAGGGACTCTTAAAGTACGTAATAGTAGGAGTGAAATGTCCGAGGATAGCGAGCGGCATGGCGAGGCGTCGTGTGATGTGGGAGCAGGTGGTGGAGGCTCGAGCATAGCCCGCGTGTTAATGACCCCGCTCCAGCTCGACGCCGCCGCGGCAGACTCGCTCCGCGCCGCGTGGAGAAACCAGGACTTGTACATAGACCATCTTGAAACGTTGAACAAACAGTTGGAAGGTATTTAAGAAAGTTACATCGGCTTGGTAGCGTCAGGTCGGCGACGTTACGACGCTCGACCCGCGAGTTGTTATGTTATCTCTATATCGACAATACTTTAACTAAAAATTAACTAGTGATACTGTTATGACATATTGCAATGTTACTGTGATAATGAAAATTGTTTAGTTATAAAACGAAATGGTGTACGGGTGTATTTAGGTGCTTTAAGTTATAAAAGGTGAAGACGAAGAAATGGTGTTTTCCTGTGTAAGAGAGGTGCCAGTGGAGTGTTTAGTGGAAGTGCAATTATCGGCAGAGAGCCGTGTGATGTCTCCAGATGATCCTGGAGCTGTGTCCATGTTCAGTGATGTTGCGCTACCCTCGGTAACCGAGCCTGCCGAGTTGTCCGGTCTTTGCTCACATGAAAAAGTAAATATGTTTTCATCACTTCTTTTGCTGTATAGTTAAGATATTATGTTGTACTTGCTTTATTATATTTTGTCTACAAGTAATGTTAATTGTTACCTATGATTTATTGTGTTAATTAGTGTCATTAACCAAACAATGTAATATAGGTTGCCGTCATACATCTAGAGCTGTGATAAAATTATTTTAGAAATAATATTTATATTACTCTATAAGTATGACTGCAGAAGATAATATGTCAAACAAATATAGGAATTGTTTAGAAAAAGGTAAACAAGAAATAATTATGCATTTGAGCTTGACACATGTGTAGTCTGCTTCATATCTTCATATCTTGGTCATATTATTAAACACATTCTGTTTCTTTCTTGCCAGCTTCTAACTAGAAGTCTAATACTGCTGCCTGGCTTGTGGGTCATTGCATGTATAAATAAAAATCAAACTATGTTCATAGCTTATTAGCCATTATAACTAACATTTCTGTTTCTACTTGGTTTCTATTATAAATGACTTATAAGTCTAAAGTAAGGAACTAAATACAGTCAGAAACTATTTGGTATGCCAAAATTATTAAATACAAACCAGTAACCATTGTTTGGTTTCTGAAAAAAACATATATTACAGTGTAACAATAGTTACTGTCTGTGTAAAACAAATAAATTTTTAGTTCCTTGCCAACATATCAAATAATTTTGCAGACTACATAAAAACTTGAAAACATTAAATGTTAATAAACATAAAAGTATAAGCACATAAATAAACTGCTTAATCACAGAATTGACTATTCTTGTCAGTAAATATTTACACATGTTAATAAAATGAGCCTATGAGCTGTAAAAAAAGCTATAATATAGATATTTTTAATTTAATTTATTCAACATTACCATTTGGTGATAGCTCAATGCTCAATGATGAAATCTAAACACTTTATATTCAGTAAGTCTGGATTTGAGTACAAAACTAGAAAAATAATATGTTGTTAGTTTATAGGAATAGGTATTAAGTGTAGAAAAATCAATAATATTATAGATATTATTAGGCAAATTATTTATTTTTCTTTTAAAAATTATTAACATATTTATGACAATATTTAGCATAATATACCAAATTAATCTATGAAGAATTATTTAATAATTTTATTTGTAACAATATTAACTGGACCTGTAAAATTGTTTTTTCTAAATTTTATAGAAACATATACTTATTTTGTTGTTTACTGCTACATTAAAATGTGCAATATTTTAATAGTTTACCTAGGAATATCTATTGAAGTATATATATACTTTCGATATTTAGTATACAGCTTTATCGAGTCATTAGGCTCTCCTAAATCACAGAAAAAAAATCATTAACTTACTTTTCCTGTTAGGTGGGGTCTAAAAAGTCACTGAACAAGTTGCTATGTTGCATATTTCATCAAATTCTGTCCTAACAATATTTGCAATGTTATAAAGTTATTTTTGAAAATAGATGTAAAGTGGGTAGTACGTTTATGAGCTCATATATTGCACAAGTTTTGTTATTACTTATTTATTTTATAAATGCAGCAAATAAATCCATAGTGAAATGATTTTATTTTAAGAAATAATCTTTTATTTTTATTTTAATGCCTGCCTATTGCCTAACTATGTACTTCTGGGATTTTTGGGTTTAGATACTTGCTTTGTCATTATATTCTTGTAATAATGTGAAAATTTGTATTTTTAAATTTTCATTGTCCATTACCATACTTTTTCAAGTTCCTTCCGAAGTTGTGCTCTTATTGAATTTACCAAAAAAATGTTTTTTGCAAATAGTCTTTAAGATAAAATTACTTGATTTTTATATTGTTCTTGTTTGTATACTTTAGTTAAGGTGTTGTCGATTTGAATATTGTAATCAAGAAAATGAAGCACACAAAGCGCATAACATTTTGTCCAGAATATGACTACTTTTAGATAACCTCTTATCTTATCAGCTGTGGAGTATAAAACTATCATCACATGATATACAAAATGTTATGCACTTAAAGTGGGTTCACTGATATCAAATGTGACATTAAATGATGTCCGTACCAATCTGTATATGCAG